TCAGAGGCCACACAGTTGAGTCTGCACTGGGAGTCGGTTATGGGGAAGTGACCGTGACCGTTCTAACTAATGGGCACATAGTGTGCAGCAATGTAGAAATCTTCCTCGTTGGCAGATTTCAAGCTTCCTTTCTTCATACACGCAAAAGTCTTGGGACATTGAGAAGCTGTGGTTTCTGAGGGTCCAGAGGCTTACTGGTTGTACCAGTGTATTCACAGGGTTTTTAAAAATAGGTGACAGGGGCTGGGGATTTGGCTCAGTGGTGCCGCCACCTGCCTCCCAAGTGCAAGGTCCTGAGTTCCACCCCCGGTAAAAAAAAAAAAAAAAAAAAGTTGTAAAACACTGTGAAATTCAATCTTCAATCTAAGTCCCTGCAGTTTTTCTAAAACAGTTTATTCTTTCATTAAGAAAGTTTAAGCTAGCATTAATAAATTAAAAAGAAATTGATTGTTCACCTTTGTTTCATGCCCATTTCATATTGTTGTCTGTGTTATAATTCATACTTTTGCTACCATTTCTGATATGTAAGATTGGTTGTCCAGTAAATATTTCATAAAGAGTTCAATTGTAGGGCCAGGGTGCTCAGTGGTTCCGTTGCCTGCCTCGCAAGCACAAGGTCCCGAATTTGATCCCAGGCACCAAAAAAAGTTCAATTGTAAATAAACTATTATGACTAATTTTTGAGGAAAAAAAAAAAGGTTGTAAAAAGCAGCTTGTAAATTTGGCTTCTCTCTCTGGTACTGGTTTGTGCTTTCTCCATCTTATCCTGCAAAAGCCAGAGTCTGTTAGTCTGATTCCTCATCTTATCTCACCTTTTTTTACACTTTGTACTTTCTGGGCCAGCCTAATGATTTCTTTAGGCCTTCAGAGACATTGCTGAACAGGTGTGTGAAAGAAACAAGAGGACTGATTTGGCTTACAGTGTCAGAGGCTTCACATGGCCCCATGGCCTTGAAGCACAGGGCAAGGCAGAAATACTGCAGCAGAAGAGCTGGCTGGGGAATGCTGCTCATTTCATGGCAGACAAAACCAGGGAGGGACCAGGGACAAAGCTGTACTCTCCAGGGAGCCCACTGCACCCTACCAAGGCCCACTTGCCAATAAGCCCATGGGGCTTCCAATAAGCTCCGCAGTCCAGTGGATGAGTAATTGATGGGGTTAGAGCTCTCACAGTCCGGTCACCTTCCAAAAGCCCCATCTCTGAGCACACGAGCCTTTCCCAGGACATTTTAGTTCCAAATCACACCACCAGGCTTCCCCAGAATCCACAAGCGCTCTTACTGGTTAGTGTTGCTTCTACTTGGCGCTCGGTGGGGAAGACCAGCTTTCCACGTCACACAGTCACCGTGCCGAAGATGGGAACCACTGCCTTGTCCAATGTGTTGAATCTCAAAGCTAAAGAAATCTGCCTGCCTGATTAAAGGGCAGCTTTAGCCTGGAGTTTGCAAGTTCAGTTTCTTTTCAACAAGTGGACACCTCAAATGTGAATTTTTAGGTAGATTCAAATGGAATAAAAAGAAGGCATTGTACTTCTGCCTTCGTTATGGACTATTTTGAGATTTCCAAAGGTGGGTTATCAAGTAGAGAGGAGTAAATCAACAGGTTTCCATTTTGAGAAGTTAGAAGGTATATTTTTAGCCATTGTCTCTGTCTTGCCAAACCTGGTCTACCTCATACAGGAATCTGATGTCCTGCATGGTGCTGCCCCCAACTGGTACCTTTCAGTGCTCATATTACTAAGAAAAATCTCAGCTCATAAGACATTTTTCTTTTGTGCATTTTAATATATTTTATTAGATTCTTATAATAACATTGTGAGTTAGGCAGATCAGGGATTATCATACCTACCTGATAGATGGGAAAACTGAAGGATATATAGCATTTTTAGATGATTTGCCCAAAGTTAAATGGCTATTAGGAGGCAGAATTGGACTATAATTCAAATTCTTGCCCTTTATTCTATTAGGTGTCCTAGTCCTTTGTAATTCAATATCTCTCCCTAAAATGTAATGAGATTAATTTTATACTTAGAAAAATTTCCCCCTTTATTCCTTGAAAGAAGGAGATAAAATATTATGTAAGGTTTAAGTAGATTTATTTATTTTGTGACAGCATCTCATTATGTAGTTCAGGCTGGCCTTGAACTCACAGTGACCCTCCTGCCTCGGCCTCTCGAATTATAGGTGTGCACCACCGAGGTTGGCAGTAAATAAATACATTAATTACTTATTTAGAGATGGGGTCTTGCTATGTATTGAACTAGTGTAGTCCAGGCTGTTGTTGAACTCGAGGTGATCTTCCTGCCTCTACCTCCCAAGTATTAGGATTATAATGTGCACCACTATGCCCAGCTAGTAGATTTATTTTTGAATTCCTTTCTGCATGAGGCTGTCTGATTCAGATGTTGTAGTCTCCAGGGCATTGTAGTTAATAGAGCCAGACTGTATTATCTGTCTCTCTCTGTGACTTATTAATTGAATATCCTTGAGTAAAATGTTTAACCTTTAAATGCGTTCTATAAAATGAGAATAATATAGATGAAGGCTATGCACCAATTCCAAAATTAGAACAAACTGTAATCTGAAACACCTCTGGCCCAAGCAGTTCAGATAAGGGATCTCAATCTGTAGTACCCTTACCTCATAGAGTTACCATACAGATTAAATGAGGTAATATGCATTAAATTCTTAGAATAGTGCCTGGCACAATATAAGTACTATGTAAATATGTGCATTAGCTGCAAAAGTAGTAGCTGCTGTTATCATTATTGATATGTAAAGATATTTACACTGTTTTTTAAAAAACAAGGCAGTGTTCATAGATACACAGCAACAGTGTACTGCCACATTTCTTGGAAGACTACATCTTCTCGTCGTCTTTCCCACAGCCTTATCTTTTACTCACTCTGTAGTTCACATTGCTCACACTCTGGTCTTCACCACTTTACTGAAACCACTTAGCTATGGCTACCAGGGACTTTCTAGTTGCCAATTTAGAGGACATTTTCAACCACATCTTGCTTGCCCTTGTAGCATTTGATGCTGTTGTTCATTTCCTTTCTGGAATATTTGTCTTTACCTTTTATGATGACTTTCTTGCCTTTGACCCCCCTGCCTTTGTCTTTAGATTTTACTGCTCCTTGGGGTTTTAATCTTTTTACCTTATGTCTTAACTCCTAGGCACTTTCCTATATTACTTGGCAACAGTGTCCTTCAGCTCAATGTTGTTGCCTCCCAAATGTTACTGTCCTTCCTGACTCTTCCTAAACTGTAAACTTGTCAAGGGACATCTCTGCCTTAGTTGTTCTACAAGTGCCTTTAATTCACTGTGCCCTTGCTGGCCTCGCTATCTTTAAACATTGCCTCTTCTAAAAACCTGCTCTTCTCCCTGTTCTGTGGACGTTTAATGATGACATCCATGGACCAGTAGCCTGGAGTCAGCCTAGACCTTTGCATTATTCCAGCCCTCGATCCATTGCAATCATCAAGGCTTTTTTGACTCTGCCCTCAAAATACATGTTGAATCTTGCCTTGTTCCAATAGCTCCACTATTACCTTAACTCAGATGCCTTTCTCTCACCAGGATTACTGCAATACCCTCCTAACCTATGTCTCCTCTATATCCTGCACTATAATCCACCTGTCATACCATTGCTAAAATAATCTTTTTTAAAAAAGCATATATGAAAAAGAACAAATATGACCATCTTGCTTCACTGCTTAAAATGCTTCTTTTATTCCCAAGAGTCAGGATGAAGTCCATATATCTTAACAATCATATCAGCCTCACTTCCTGCCTCTCTTGTCCATATACTCCGGCCATAGGGAATAAGGTTCCTGAATGCTGTAAGTGCACACTCTGTTCCCTCTGTGTGGCTGTATGCTTCTCGTATTGTTTTGCTGTTAAGACAAAACATGTTAATGTATGGGTTGTTTTTGCTAAATGAAAACCTCAGTATTCAGGTTAATTTGTAGTGTTGACACTTTTCAATAAATAAGTTGGCTTTGGGTTGTACTTTGGGCACTCATCTCTAAAAGGTTCCCCATTACTGCCCTGAGTCATCCTTTCTGACTCCTTTATTTCTTCTGACATGCCTAAACTAAGGAACTTTATGCTTAGCACTACGTAATATAGTCATAGTGATAGGGAAAACTTTAATAGTGAAAACTTAGGAAATGTCACAATATAACTTCTGCCCCTCACTCTGCTTAGCTCAGAATTAACCAGTACCGGAGACAACTAGTCTCCCCACAAAAGTTTTGTAAGTGAAAAGAACCATTGTTAGCTTTGTTGACCAGACAAGCTCCCTTCCCCCTGACTAGAATAGGTAACTGAATAAATCTTAAAGGTGACTTTCCCTGACAAAGAACTGCATCCGGGTTGAAATTCAACTGCCTTGCTATTATGTTTTGGGTATTAGCAATGTGAGCTGTGAAAATGCAATGTAACCAGCTGAATGAGATCAAGGCTGTAAAACCCAATAAAAGAAGTTGTAACCCAATGGTGGGGGTCGATGAGGGCACCGTCATTAGGCCTCATCGATTCCGTCTATGGAGTAAACTTTTATTTTACTTCCATTCTGCTGCCTCTCTGTGTGTCACTTGCCAATTCCTTACGTAACAATAGATTGTGATCTCTTCAAAGGAAGGTATCATTGTGTATAGCACCTACTAAATGTTTGGATGCAGAGTAAGTCCTTAGTAGCTTCCTAAGTACACTAAAACAAGTATACAAAGCCAGACATGGTGGTGCATGCCTGTAATCCCAGCACTTAGGAGGCTGAGGCCAGGGGACTGCAAACCCAGCCTGAGCAGTTTAAGATTTAGCAAGAACCTGTTTAAACAAACAAAAAAATCTTGAGATGTAGTCTCAGTGCAAAGGATCTGCGTTCAATTTCCAGTACTACAAACAAACAAAAAAAGTACACAAGCTCATTTTCTGTGTTTACTGTCTACCCTAATCATTTCTGATAGCAGCTGGCTTTTCCTTGTGTTTTGCAGTATATCAACTCTGGGAACCTGGAACAGTTGCTGGACAGCGACCTGCACTTACCCTGGACTGTGAGGGTGAAACTGGCCTATGACATAGCAGTGGGCCTCAGCTACCTTCACTTCAAAGGCATTTTCCACCGAGACCTCACCTCAAAGGTATGAAGGGTTTACTTTTGCAATGCTTAAGAGACACAGCCCTCTTTTACCAAGAAAGCTGTGTTAAGAAACCAATCATTACTCGGGCACAGTGGCATATGCCAGTAATCCTACAATATGGGAGGCTGAGGCAAGAGGATGGCAAGTTCCAGCCCAGCCTAGGTAACTTAGTAACTTAGCAAGACTTTCTTGTTTGTTTGTTCTTTTAAGTTTTTTGAGACGGTGTCTCGCTGTAGTTCAGGCTGGTCTTGAACTCACTTTGCAGTCTAGGCTGGTTTCCAACTCATGATGGTCCTGCTGCCTGAGCCTACCAAGTACTGGGATTACAGACATGTGGAACCACACCCAGCTAAGACTCTGTTTTAAAAATTAAAAAGAGCTAGGGATGTAGCTCAGTGCCAAGGCCCTAGGATCAATTCTCAATACTGCCACCACCAGCAGAAAAAAGGGAAAAAGGGCTAGGGATTTAGCCCAGTGGTTCCACCGCCTGCCTTGGAAGCGCAAGGTCCTGAGTTCTATCCCGGGTACTAAAAAAAGGGGGAAAAAAACGGAAAGAAACCAATCATTAATAGCTTTGGAAGTGTGAAGATTTCTTACACATTTAACATTTATTCATTTAGCTGGGCTTGATGGCAAGTGCCTATAATCCCAGCGCTTAGGAGGCTGAGGCAGGAGAATTGCCATGAGTTCAAAGCCAGCCTAAACTACAAAGTGAAAAACTGCCCCTAGGCCAGGGATTTAGCTCAGTGGTGTCACTGTCTGCCTCACAAGTGCAAGGTCCTGAGTTTGATCCCCAGTACCCCCGCAAATCATTTAACATTTAATCACAGAAGACATAATTCACTTTTTCTATATTGAGACAGGGTCTATGTAGCCCAGGCTGGCCTCAAACTCACAGCAGTCTTCCTGCTTCAGCCTCCTGAGTGCTGAGATTACAGGTGTGCACCACCTTGAAAGCTGTAATCTATTATTCTTTATAGCTAGTCCTGAGGAAGCCTATATCTGCTCAAAGCAAGTACCTTTCTATGTTAAGCCGGGCAATACATACATCATGAGAGCCTTTATATTTGACTTTAATCTCTTGAATTGTCGCCAGAGTGGATAACAGGTGGAGGAATAAGATATTCTTTTTTTTTTTGATACCAGGGATTGAATTTGGGACCTTGCGCTTGTGAGGCAGGCATGGTGCCACTGAGCTAAATCCCTGGCCTGGAATAAGATATTCTTGTGCTGTTGGAAATCTATCAGTTTTCTCTCCCATGGCCTTCCAGAAGTAGCTCTTACCCAGGGGTCCAGTGATTTTTAGTCACTTGAATGCGGTTTTTGAACACTCAGTGAATCAGAATGTACTGACCCATTTTTTGTCTGTGTGATTGAGTTTCTGCCACCATGCCAGTTCCTTTTTGGCATCAGCTGGTCTCTGTAGTATTCTTTTCCTGTTTGAACTGCTGTGTGACCAGGTTAAAAAAAAAGAGTTGCTTTCAGAGCAAGTTGGCCATGCTATAAAGCAGGCAATTCAAGGCCAAAAGGCCCAGGATACCAACATTATAGGCTTATAAATAATATTGTTTGATTATGGATGGGAGAACTCTTTGATCCTGTACTTTGATCCTCCTGCATCAGCCTCCTGAGTCTCTGGGATTATAGGTGTGTGGCACTGCTCACAGCAAATTCATCCTTTTAAAATATGCATTTTATTGGTTTCTAGCATCTTCAACCATTACCACTATTCAATTTTAGAGCTTTGTCAGTACCCCTCAAAAAAAAATAACCCATGCCCTATTCCTCTCTTCTTTCAGCCTTGGCAACTACTAACCTATCTTTGTTTTGGTTTTCAAATTTGCTTAGTCTAGACACTTCATATAATTTGAATCATATGTCATAGTCAGCTTTCAAATAGAGGAGAACACAGATTTATATTTTAGAAAGATGATGATGAAAAGCCTAGAGTCTAAAGGTAGAGAAAGGAATCCAAAACCATAGTGTCATAGAAGCCAGGAGAAAATAGCTTCCATCTGTCTTCTCATAGCCGGTCTGTTAGCTCTGTGACTGTGTCTGCCTTATTCTCTGCACACCCAATACTACCCTGATTTATGAATCCTGTATAAACACACATAAGGAAGTAATCAGGTATATCCCACACTGAAAGATCAAGTAATGTAAGGACTAATTTTGTCTGTTGAGCGTAGTATTACAGAATTCACCAGAATCTTCAGTGAGAGTACAGTACTTCCAGCAGAAGCCAGTGAGGATGAAAAGGGAGAAAAGAGAATCAAACCAACAAGTGTGGCCAGTCAAACCGGATCAGCGTATATTCCTGAAATAGGCTCAGGACTTAGTTGGGAAAGCTCTGAGGGGCTACTCTGGGTCAGGGCTCCTCTTTATTTTTATTATCACTTCAGATGCAGAATTCTAAAGTTTTTGAGGGGGGATTTTTGGTTTTTTTAGCCTCCTGTTTTTCTGTTTGGCTCTAATGCACAGCTGTTGGCTATGGAGAAACCTTGAGAGGCGGTGGTCACATGCCAGGTAGTTTAGGCTGGGCAGCCTTGCCCCACACTGCAGAGTCGCAGTCACTCTGGCCTTGGCCGTTTCTCAGCTGCTTGTGGAGATGCTGCTCTGAAATCTCTTTCTACTCAATGGGTGGCCTGCATGAGTGAACATTAGTCCTCCATGAACGCGAAGATGGGGCAAAAATAGAAAAGCTTTGACAGGGGCAGTGCACAGTGACCATGTTCTGTTCTTATCTGTACTTAACCCATTGCTTCCAAGTTGACTTTAACAGGGTTGTTTCTAAGGACCATAAAACAAATAGTAAATTGGACTTTATGTATTTATTATTATTATTGTTTGTTTGTTTTTTTTTTTTGGTTTTTTGAGAAAGGGTCTCACGATGTAGTTGAGACTGAACTGGAATTCACTATGTAGCCCAGGCTGGTCTCAAACTCACAGCAATCCTCCTGCCTCAGCCTCCCGAGTGCTGGGATTACAGGCGTGCACCACCATGCCTGGCGTAAATTGGACTTCAGACTGAACCTTGGAGACAGAGTCTGAGTTGTTGGTAAAATAGGAGGGAGAGGGGAAAGAGGTGACACTGTCTCACTGGCTATGACCTATACCCAGGACTTTGGCTCACAGGCAAGTTGGCCTCAGGCCCATCTTCTCACAGTTAAAGTCAGGGAGCTGGGCTGCTGATCCAGCAGGACTGATGGGAGGGGCCAAAGCCAGAACAAACGCAAGGACAGTCCTGGGAAGCCAGTCGAGGAGGCACATTCATCCAGGGTAGATTATATCTGGATGTGATGCAATCATAGGCTCCTTCCAGATCCAGGGAATATAGTGTGATCACATCAAGGTCAGAATAAGGAAGTAATTTGTACCTGATATTCAGTAAGCAAGAGGTTCCATGGCAACTAGATACTAAGGCTGCCAAAGAGAAGGGAGGGCTGGTTTGGTTTAAATAGGGCCTTGCTGGCTTCAGAAATTTTTCTGTGAGCCCCTGTTCTCTGCTGCCTCAAGAGGAAGGGGGCGGGGGGGTGAGGAGTCCTGAGTCAGAGTGGTGTAGGGCTATTTTGAATGCAGCTATTTGGGGAGAACTGGTTGCTGCTTTGTATTTATTTATATGTCACTTGAGTTCATCCTTTCTGTGCAGACAGCAGCATTTGCTCAGTGAGCATGTCCTGTCTCTACCCTGAACTGAAAACTGTATGAAAAGCCCAAACAAGAACCTGCTGTGCTCCTGAGGCACTTACAGCCTCTCCTAGACTGAAAGAGGAAGTGGCAAAGAGGAGCTAAAGGGGTTAATAAGAGGGGCTATAAAGGTGAGGGCTGGAGAGGACAGGTTTGAAAACGTTGCTTGCCTTAAAAGATGTAACATTTTCTTGGGGAAAAAGAATTGATGGGGCTCATAATGTAGCTCAGTGGTAGAGTAGGTGCTTAGCATAAGCATAGCCCTAGGTTCACTCCCCAACATGAGAGGGAGGAGAGAGGGAAGAAGAGAGGGGTGGGGAAGAGGGAGAGAGGGAGGGAGAGAGAATATGAACCTGAACGTGAGTATTCTACTCAGAAGGAAATGGTATAAGCAGACGCTCCAAGGGCTTATTTAAATTTGGTAAGTTGAGCTTGTCACAAGTTTGGATGAGGTGCACATGGGGCAACAGGGACAAGGAGGCAGGGGTTAGGGCTAGTTGGCTGCAGCCAGTTTGTAGACTTTTTTGTGGTACTAGAATCAAACCCAGTGCTTCGTGCATGCTGAGCATATATCCTACTACTGAGCTACACCCCTGGCCAAATTGTAGATTTGTCATGCAGATCTTAGACCTGGGAATCACTCCATGAATCTGTAGGCAATGAAAGTGTAGGCTTGGGCTGGGGATTTAGCTCAGTGGTTCTGGCACCTGCCTTGCAAGCACAAGGACCTAGTTCGATTCCCGGCACACACACACCCCCTCCCCTGCAAAAAAAGAAAAGAGTAGGCTTGGATCCTTGTCCTATGCTTATAGCAAGGTCAAGCCTGGGAGTTGGGTCTCTGCACTCTGAGCAAAGAGGGGGCCAGTGGACTGACAGTCTGTTCTCCTATACCAGACTGTAAGCCTCTAGGGGACAAAGGTTCCTGTTCTGGTTCACTGAGGAAATGTCTAGTACTTAGAAAATAAGGATAAGTATTTGTGTTTGGAGGCAAAGAGCAACCCAGGACAGACATTCAAGATCCAGAAATAACTCATCTCATATGGCTGTCTTTAAAGCCCCCAAGTCTGAGCCAAGCATGGTAGCACATGCCTCTAATCCCAGCACTTTGGGAGGTGGAGGCAGGATGGCAAGTTCCAGCCCAGCTTGGTCAACTTAGCAAGACCATCTCAAAACAAAATAAAACAAAACAAAATATTAGAAGGAAGTGGGGTGGGGCTATAGCTTAGAGCAAAGGCTCTGGGTTCAATACCCAGAACCAAAGAAAAAAATGGCCTCTAGCCGGGGATTTAGCTCAGTGGTTCTGCCGCCTGCCTCAAAAGTGCAAGGAAGCGAGTTCGATCCTCGGTACAAAAACAAACAAACAAACAAAACAACGGCCCCCAGGTCTGACCACTGGAGTCAGCCTAAGAATGTGATTCAGTAAGAAGCCGAGGAAGGCTAGGGGTATGACTCAGTAGTAGAGCATTTGCCTAGCATACATTGGCCCCTAAATTCAATCTCCAGCACTAAACAAAAGCAAAAAGCAACCAAACAAAAATACCAGAGGACAAGATGCCCCGTGGTAGGAAAAGAGGCATTGTGGTAACTTGAGTTTGGTGACCCACACTTTTGAGCCTTATCCTGTCTTCTTTTTCTTTGGGAACTCTAGAACTGCCTGATAAAGAAAGATGAGAATGGTTACTCTGCAGTGGTGGCTGACTTTGGCCTGGCTGAGAAGATCCCTGATGTGAGGTGAGCAGCCCTCATGGATGCTTGGGTCACAGAGGAGAAAGTTAAAACCGGGGAAAACCCAGCTTCCTTCTCAGAGCCCAGGACTCATCCTCACCTCCTAATTTGTACCCATCCTTGAGAGAGAAATTCCCAATAGTTGAAAGGTCCTGTTGTGCCAGGCAGTGGCAAGCTTACTTTTATAATCTCACCTCACAGCATGGGGAGTGAGAAGCTGGCTGTGGTGGGCTCACCCTTCTGGATGGCGCCGGAGGTTCTCCGAGATGAGCCTTACAACGAGAAGGTAAGTCTGGAGGAGGTCAAGGCCTGGTTCTCTTTAGAAGCCACTCCACTAGTGGTGCCTAAGATCACCCTCTATGCTTATGGTAAGAATTGACATCCTTCCTGCCAAGGGTTGGCATCAGCAGCTGCCCAGAGAATGACTTTCATAATAGGGCCCAAAGTGGGCAATTAGACATGGGGGGCAGATACCGCTCCCTCACTCTATAGAGAGGGAAACCAAGGTCTGACCACCCACCAGGCAGACGTGTTCTCTTACGGTATCATCCTCTGCGAGATCATCGCCCGCATCCAGGCCGACCCAGACTATCTTCCCCGCACAGAGGTAAGCTGCAGCCCTGGGGTGGCGCTGGTTTGAGGCTATGGAGTTGTTTGGTCCCCGGATAGAGTTGCTGGAACTCATGTTGTGGCTGCTTCTTAGAGGTAGCTCCCAGCCTGTCCAAATGAGCAGGCCAGGATGGGTGGGGGGATTAACGACCTGTCTACCCATATGCCCTGTACCCTCCGCCATACCCATCCACAGAATTTCGGGCTGGACTATGACGCTTTCCAGCACATGGTGGGAGACTGTCCCCCAGACTTTCTGCAGCTCACCTTCAACTGCTGTAATGTGAGTGTCTTTCTCCCCCGGCTATGGTCAGAGGCTGAATGAGTACTTTTTTCCTGGTTAGGACTAGAGGAAGAGGCAGCTAATTAGTCTTACAAGGGACCTCTTTTTACTGGGTGTGTAACACCGACCTCACTTCCTCCAAAATTGCTCTGCCTGCAAGATCGACCTGCTGCCCCTTGCTTTGTTGGACCTCTGGTCAGGTTTTATTGTTGGATTGTGGATCCAGCCAGTCTCTTTATTAGCCTTCATTTTATATGAAGCTAGACCTGGTATGACCAAAGAATAGCTAGGGTTTGTTCAGGTACCTCCCAAAAACACATTCAGCAGAACTCAAGAAGCAATGGGAACCAGGCATGGTGGGTGCAGGCTTGTAATCCCAGCACTTGGAAGGCTGAGGCAGGAGGACTGCCCCAAGTCGAGGCCATCCGGGGCTACACAGTGAGCTCAAGGCTGTCTTGAACAATATAGCAAGAGCTTGTTTCAAAAAACAAAAAAAGAACCAATGTGAGCATACACCTTCAGAGAGTTCTGTTCCAAACAAGGGGTAGGACACACATATAAAGGAGATTGAGATGGGAAATCTAATAGACACTAGCATCTTCCCTGTTAACCCTGGGAATCACCCTCATGGCCTGAGACCTCAATAGAGCTCATAGTTGCACATCTGAATCCTAGAAGATGCCAGAGACTCAAACTCCATTTTGGGGTGGGAGATGGAGAGCAAGTCTCATGGCTAGTATGAATGCTTACAGATGGACCCCAAACTGCGCCCATCTTTTGTGGAGATTGGGAAGACCCTGGAGGAAATTATGAGCCACCTACAGGATGAAGAGTTAGAGAAAGACAGGAAGCTGCAGACTACTACTAAAGGTAAGAGATCAGGTGTGTTGACACATATAATCCTATCACCCTAGAAGGCTGATGCAGGAGAATCCCAAATTCGAGTCTAACCAGGGCAGTTTAGCAGCTGAGTGAGACTTTGTGTCAAAAATAATAGGGATTAAAAAAAAAAACAAAGGACTATGGCTCAGTGTGAACGTCCTCAGTTCAATCCCCAGCACTGTGCAATCAATCAATCAATCAATAAATAAATATAGGTCAGCCTAAACAGCCCAACCTGATGGCTATGGGGAATTACCCTCTAAGGCTGTGACTGTAAGGCAGCAGGTGTAGAAGCAAGGAAGACAGGAGATCATGGGGGAAAAAGGTACGAGACTCTTGTTATGATTTGATCTATTACTTCCTTTTTCTGTGTCTGTCCTCATTGATAAAATGGGACAAGATTACCTACTTTGCTTTTTTTTTTGTTTGTTTTTTTGAGACAGGGTCTATGTAGTTGAGACTGACCTGGAACTATATAGTAACCCAGGCTGGTCTCAAACTCACAGCAATCCTGCCTCAGCCTCCCCAGCGCTGGGATTACAGGCGGGCGTGCGCCACCATGCCTGGCAAGAGTACTTTGCTTTAACTAGTAAGTAATCTAGACTTGACCATTATCCCTCAGGTCTCTTGGAGAAAGTGCCTGGTGGGAAGAGACTGAGCTCACTGGATGACAAGATTCCCCACAAGTCACCTCGTCCGAGACGTACTATCTGGCTGTCTCGAAGCCAGTCAGATATCTTCTCTCGTAAGGCCCCACGGACAGTGAGTGTCTTGGACCCTTACTACCGACCACAACAAGATGGTGCTACCCGCACCCCCAAAGTCAACCCTTTTAGTGCCCGGCAGGACCTCAAGGGTGGCAAGATCAAGTTCTTTGACCTTCCTAGTAAGTCTGTCATCTCCCTAGTATTTGACCTGAATGCACCAGGGCCTGGAACTGTGACTGCAGCTGACTGGCAGGAGCCCCTGGCCCCACCTGCTCGCCGATGGCGTTCTTTGCCTGGCTCACCTGAGTTCATGCGTCAAAAAGTCTGTCCGTTCATGAGCTGTGAAGAAGCACTATCAGATGGGCCTCCACCACGCCTCAGCAGTCTCAAGTACAGAGTGAGAGAGATCCCGCCATTCCAAGCATCCACCCTGCGAGCCCACGAGGCCATGGACTGCTGCAATTCCCAGGAGGAAAACGGTTTGGGGCCCAGGCTTCAGGGAACCAGCCCATGTTATGGAGGTGGCTCTGAGGAGATGGAGGTGGAAGAAGAAAGGCCAAGAGGCTTGGCTCCAGTCTCTTTCTTTATCTCAGACATGGGCCTACAAACCCAGGAAGAGCAAGATGGATGAGGTTAGTCCCTGCCTCACCTTGGGGTTGAACCTTTAGCTAGTCATAGAGGCCCCCTTGGTGCACAGCCTTAACTCTCCCCTGGAGCCCATAGTGCAGGCTGGCTAGGCCAAGTCATGCTCAACTTTTGGGCTCCTAATGTCCAATGGCTTCATATGAAAAGGGAGGCAACAACAAAAAGCCTTCCTGGTTAGGGCCAACTACTGATACTAAGCCTCTGAAATCCAGCAAGGAGCTCTGGACCCTACCTGATGCCAGTGCACTTCCCCAGACAGGACCAGAAGACTCTAGTTCTAGGCTGAGCTAGCAGGCTGCTGTCACCCCAGTTCTTCTCCCACCCGAGATCTCTCTTGCTTTCTCTCGGGGCATAGAAGCTACTAGATGGAAAGTGGAACTGACCAGGACATAAAAGCATGACTGTTTCTCAGACCTAAAGACTGGGGTGCTTCTTGCCAGTATGTCTAAGACACTTGAATAATTGCTGTTTGCACTTACTGCATGGTCAGACCACGTCACTACATTTCTATGCAAGAGGAGGGCAAGGCAGTGTGGTGGTCGTGACCCTTAGATAACCTACTCAAAGACCTTTTCCAGTTGATTAATCTATTTTCATATTTATAAAGGAGTCTTAATGCTCTGCCTCATAAGACTTTCAACCTTGTGGTTGGGAGTGGGGCTAGTTTTGTAGGCCTTAGGGCCTGCTCTATGTATTTGGGAACAGATACATGCAAGTGATTAAATGGTTTATACTTGGACTATTTTTTCCCCCCTTCCTGCTATAGCTGGAGCTTTGGGAACAGTTTGTCCTTTCAGAGCCGCAATAAGAAATTACCAAAGAATGAAGATGGTCAAATATTTTCATAACTCATTTCTGGTTTTTTGTAAAACTTTCCCAAGACACTTTCAGATTTAAAAAATAAAGTTGGTGTTGCAGGTGCTGGTCAGCCTTCTTGTACGTTGTACCTCAGCCTCTGGTTAAAGAAGGGCCAGGGCAACACAGCTAGAACTCGCCACCCCCAACTTTGTTCTTTCAGCTTCCCTTCCCGGACTGAGTGATAAGTAGAAGCTGGGTCAGCTGCTGCCCCAGGCCAGCTTCATCTTCTGGTTGTGAGCTTTGGAGGATCGGGAGAACTGGCTCTTGGCCACTGTGAGGGGTACTGCTTTGCCACTCAGATATACCTTATTGTGACATTCAGGTAGCCAGAGTCCAGGGCTGCAGGGCTGGGGTGCCTGGCTCACTCCCACATAGGCCATCACATAACCTGTCATAAAGGCATCAAAGCCAGCCCGGTGCAGTCCATCCCCAGGCACTTGATTAGGACTGGCTTGACTCCCTGGCTCTTCTACAGCAGGCATGTCAGCTGCCTGAAGCTCCATCTCTAAGTCATTTTGGTGACTTTGCTGAGAGCCAGAAGGGTCCTTAGTTTCATTTTCAGTTACTTTTTGTTCAACTTCCTCAGCCTTGAGGCTGTCTCCACAGACCTGCTTGGTGGGAGGACAATCCTCAGCTTCCCTAGTAGTCTGTGTCCCAGGCATGTTCAACAAAGCCCTCCTCCGTTTTTCCTTACGTCGCCGCCGTCGCCGCTTATCCTCCAGCGCGGCCTCATCAGTGTCAATGATAAGGTCAATATCATGGGACCGAGGACACTGTGGTCCCAGGGGGCACCAGCCATAGGCCTAGAGGTAGGAAAGAGGCTTAGAAAGAGGTTCCAGATGTTAGCCGCCCCCCCCCCGAAATGGGTGCATGCTCACCGAGAAGTTATCACAGACACTGTTGGGATGAGGATGGTGGGTGGCAGGGGACATGCAGCAGCGGTAGTCAATATGGGTCCTCATGCTAGAAGGATAGCTGCAGAACTCCAGGGTAAGGTGTGGGCTGCCAGCTGCCTGCTGCTTCCCATTTTCCCGCTCACTGCAACAGCGCAAGAGTGTATTGGTCCACTAGCACATAAGCTCCCTGAGAACAGTGGTTTTCTCAGCACCTAAAACAGTGCCTGGCACATGGTAGGTGCTCAATAAATATCTTAAGTGAATGAAACAGGCTCACACCAGGCCCCATCCCTTTGCCTCAACCATTCCCTCACCATTTCTTGAAGGCATATTCTAAGTAGGAAGCCATGAAGCGGGCATGAAACTCAGCAGCATATTTGGTGTCATAAATGCCTGCAGGGAACATCTCACACAGGTCTGCAGTGAAGGTCCCCAAGCTTTCAGGTAAGTGTGCGTAGAAGTTCTGATACAGGAACACCAAGTCTATAAGACCATTATGTAGCACAAGCGGCCGGCGGGCCCGGATCAGCTCTAGGAACAGTGTCCGCACTGACTGGCTGTGACTCTCATCACCCTAATTGGAAGGAAAGGAGTCAGTGGGAAGAGCGGTTTTTCAGAGAACATCTTCTGCAGGTCACTTAATCCCAGGTTCCTCCACCTGAGAAGCTCTCCCTTATTACCTAACCTGATGCTACCCACACTTGTATCAGTTTTGTTTCCCCAGCCAGCACAAGAGAAGCAGATCCTCACAGCCTAGAACAGGAAGAAATGAAGTCACATAAATGAAAGCCTCAAGGGTAGGCAAGCCGGAGGCCTACCTTGTCGTTGCCCTTATGGTAAGGGATGCCCTGGGCATACTGCCGGTTGAAGTTGAAGCCATGCTGTACCAGGAACTGCACAGACTTTGGTTCTATAACATACTCTTCCATGCAGAGCAGGGTAAGATTAAAAACCTGGGCTAGGTAGGAGTGTTCGCCCTGAGAGAAAAAAGGTTTGCTCTATCAAGATTTTGGAGGAAAAACCCCACACTCAGTGCTCCCAGGATCTCAACCTTCTTCCCTCCCCTGGCCACAGACCTGGAATGGGAGCAAGGTAACCCATACCTTGTTTGGCTGCTGCTTAAAGCAGGCAAGCCCCAGAGAGAGGACAGAACGGGTCCTGGCGGCATGACACACAGCTTTGTAACGTTCTTCGATGCACCTTGGGGATGCATTTGGGATGGATGTGGCTGAGTTAGCTTCATGGAAGACCCAAACCAGCCAGAACGGGGACCTCCCCGTGCCCACTCTGGAGTTGAGGTCTGTCTCTCCTGCCAGGAGGAGGAGGACTAAAAAGAAGGCTTGTACTTACTGGTTTAGCAAACTCTTCCTGTCTCCAAGGCCGCTTAACTCCTATGGATGGTAAAGGGAGGGTTGTGACTGGCCCCAAACACCAGCCCTTTCATGACCACCTGCTCTGTTTCCCATCTCTCACCGTGTCCACAGCCACAAAGCTAGCTGTCTTTATGGCCAGAAGGAGGGATGGCCACATCTCCTTGAAGTTGTCGCTTTGCACATCCACCACGGGAACCTGGACTACTAGCTCCTCCCTAGATTTCGGGCTTTTGTTGACACCACCTGGGGGGATGAAGGTGATGGATGTTCCTGTTCTGCCCAGGTTCCACAAGAAAAGACACCAATCTAAGGCAGAGGTAGTCTGAGTTTCCACTGGTACCTTTTCCCCTTAAGCCTATGTATTATTCTACAGTGTTCTACACCCAGGACTTGGAGTGGACAGTTTCCTGAATTTGAGAGCAGAAGCCAGGGTTTTCCAGTGACTTTCTGTGAGACGCTGGGAAATTATTTCCTAGATTTTTTAAGGTTCTTTCTCCCGGCGCCCTGCAGGAAATGTTTTGCAGGGCTAGAGGATTTCAGCTCCTAAGATTCCATGAGGCTCTGTACTACGGTTCTCATGGTCCCCTCATGGGTCTCAGGGCTCCCAATACATCTTACTTCCTTTGGACCGTAACACCCAGCCTGCCACACTACCGAACCACAAATCAGGCGTCTTATTCGGACCACAATCTCCCGACAAGCCCGCACCAGCCCGGACTGCTCCCAACACGCGGTGCACACTGGGATTTGTAGTCTCCTTATGGCTGGCTCTGGCGGAAGGAGCTACAGGGTCCTGGGAGTTTTAAAATCTCTACAGCTTATGGGCCCGACGGCTTTCCCTCCCCCGGGGCGCATATGCTTTTAGGGCGGCCCCTCGTAAGCCGGTCACCATCAGAGGCCGTTGGAGCTGAAGCAGCGCTGTCCTCACTGCCCGCAGCCATGACGCCCCAGGTTCCTCGCTTGACTCGTCTGTGGGGACGCGTGGCTTCCGCTTCGTCGGCAGGTTTGACTCGTGAGGTAGGGAATGTGCCTGGATACCGCGCTCCGGGTCGCTAAACCCGCCGACTTCCTTTCAGTTCCGGAGCGTGTGGGAGGAGCGGCCCGGCGCGCTGAAAGCCTATTGGCTGGTGTGTCCGGCCCCCGCCCAGCCCCTCCCCTTGTAGAGCGCCGGTCGTCACGCGCGGGATACAGTGCTGGAGGTAATTTGTGTTCCCGCGCGGGAGTGGGAGAGGTCTGTGTGGTCCGCCGTCTCCATCAGCACCGCTGGGGATGGGTAGGCCGGGAATCCCAGCGGAGGGGGCGTAGAATAAATAAAACAAATGAGCTGAGCGTGAAGCACACCTAGAAATTAGGCAAAGAGAGTGTCGTGTGGAGGAGAGTGCTCTGGGCAGGAGCAAATTCCCCGGAAGGATGGAGTGTCTCAAAACACCGAGCTGCAGAGAGTGTAGAGTGACGGGCCAAGTGAGTGGTAAGGTGGACTTCAGTTAAGGCTGAAGTAGAAGGGGTGTCGAGGAAAGGACAGTTTATAAAGCGATTAGGAAGTATAATTGATCTAGAGAGGATGCTTGAACATGACTTCCGCTACCATGAAACAGGTGTCCCTACTGGAGACATCCCTGCCCAGGAGCCCCGGTTCCCCTCCTCTCAGCACATCAGTTCTTTCTCCGTGTTTATTCTCTTGGTTTAACTTCATCCTCAGCTTTCTATCGAGTCCTTTTCATCACTTTTCAGAATTGCTAGGGTTTCCCCATCTTGAAGGGGAAACATCTCCATGGACTCTCCCCGAGGTACTGATTTACACACTTTATGGAGGGCTGGTTCAGCGGGCACAGCAGTCAGCTGAATGCTCCTGTAGGCCTAGGCCAGAGCGGGTCTGACTTTGGGGAGTCCCAAAGAACCACGTGTGGCCAGTTGCCCCAAAAGAAAATGGAAAATGTAATGGTGAATTGGGAAAGAGATATTTAGTATAACCATACTGAGAAGATAAAGGACTGGCATGGGGGAAGAACTGTGGCAGGAGGCAGAAGTTACACATAGTCTTCAACACATAGTTCAAACTGTGATAACGATCAGGTTGATCCTTATCTCGGGTCTGGTTCTGAGGCCTGGCGATGGAGAAGTGGATATCACTTGAGGGCACATTTGGGTTCCCATCACAGGACGATTGGGGGGCAGTCTCATCGTAGGGTGATATGCTTTTAAACTCAGTTTCTGGCAGTTTTAGGACAATGACTGGAGACTTCTAGGCGCTGTCCCTGTGTTCTGGAACAGGACATTGTAAAAGCTGGTGGTTGATAGTCTGTTAACTATGATGTCCCTGCCAATCTTAGAAATACCTTACTCTTTTTTGCTTTAGACAGGGTCTTGCTGTGTAGTTCAGATTGGCCTTGACTCTATGTAGCCCAGGCTGGCCTTGAATTTGCAGTAATCCTCCTGCCTCAGTTTACCAAGTGCTGGAATTATAGGTGTGTACCACCATGTCAGCACCCTTAGTTGCTTTTATTTTGATGTCCTCAGCTTTGATGGAGGTTGATTATCAGCTTTAGATGAGCACTGGGTTTTTGTTTGTTTGGTTGGTTTTTTGAGACAAGGTCTTTTTCAGGCTGGCACTGAACTCACTATGTAGCCCAGACTGACCTCAAAATTGCAGTGGTCCTCCTGCCTCGGCCTACTAAGTACTGAGATTATAGGTATGCACCCTCACACCCAGCAGTAAATACTGTTTAAATGATTAAAATGCCTTCCTGCAGAATTGAGCAGGAGTCTAACCCACAGTGTTTTTTTTTTGTTTTTTTTTTTATTTAGGGGCTGGGGATTTAGCTCAGTAGTTCTGCTGCCTGCCCTGCAAGCACAGGGTCCCAAGTTCGATCCCCGGTACCAAAAATAAATAAATACAATAATTAATTTTATTGGTAATAATGATCACATTCATCAGAGATAATTTGTACCTTTACTTTTTTTTTTTTTGGTACCGGGGATTGAACTCAGGCCCTTGTGCTTGCAAGGCAGGCCACTGAACCACTGAGCTAAATCCCTGGCCCTGTACCTTTACATATTATGTCTTAATTATTTTTTTCCCCCTCTGCTTGCTTCCCTTCGATCCTTCCTCTCTCTTCTCCCTTTACAAAACTTTGTTTCTGTTATTTTCCTTCCATTCTTTTTCTTTTTCTTTTTCTGGTACCAGGGATCAAACTTGGGACCTTGTGCTTGTGAAACAGGCGGTGGAACCACTGAGCTAAATCCCTGGCTTTCTTTTTCATTTTTTATCCCTATTCCCTCCCTTTCCTCTCCCCTCCGACCACTCTTGTTCCCCTTCGCATTTGAACATTTTCTCCTACTTCCCAATACTGACCTACAGTTTTTTGTTTTGTGGTTTTTTTGTTTTTTGTTTTTTGTTTTTTTTTTTGTTTTTTCTTTCTGGTATCGAGAATCAAATTTAGGGCCTTGTGCTTGGCAGGTAGGTGCTCTGCCGCTGAGCTACATCCTATAGTTCTAAGGTGGTAAAGATGTAGAATGAAGGTATTCATGCCATGCTTTTACCCTGCTTTTAGTTAGCCTTTGGGCATCTGCAGGCCCACAGGAGGAGTCAGGGCTTTCAGCAAAAACAGTTTCTGAGTGTCTGTTAAAAGAAGAGACCTAATCCTGGCCCTCGTGGAGTTTTTTGTTTTGGCTTTTTACAGTCAAATAGAATTGAGGTAGCGATCACCATGGTATGACAGTGGTGATACAGAAAGCTGTTGTGACAAACCCTTCGTAGCATGGCATGTTTCAACAGGCCTGTCATGAGCTTGATAAAAGACAGAAACAGGTTTGAATGAAATGAACTGTTACCAAGGAAAAATCCAAATCCTCTAGCTGCACTCACTCTCAGTCACCTTAAAAATTGGTAATTTTGGAGGCCACATATAGTTGGACAACACATTATTAGTTTCCCACAAGCTTTGTGGTAAGGTAACACCTCTGATGTGTGGGTTATAATAGTTGTCTGGGCTACTGACTTCTCAGGCACCTGAAGGCCACTTTCACTGAAAACGCTGACCCTGTATTTGGGCTTGTAGATGTCTGATGGGTGACTAAAGTGAGATAAAGGCTTTACTTCTCTGTCTTCATATTGTATCTGTGCTCTTTGCTGTCTTAATCCTTGGGTCAGAGTTTACTTAGCTCTCTGCACAAACCTTTGGAACATTTACATGATTTGCCCAAGACTGTAATACAGAGTTAGCCAGCGGTAGTGGTACACACTTCTTTCATGTTCGCATGGAAGAAAGGTCCCTTTTCCTATCCAGACTCTTGCTCCTCTAAACTTCCAACCAAGAGCCACTCTGGTGTACTTCTCCACTAGAGCTCTTTATACCAACTGTGACATTTCCTTGTGATGTCTTTGGTCAGTGCCTGCTTAACCTGATAACAGATGAGATTCTCTTGAGCATAGATGACAGAAATGAGATTGGGCCAAATATCGCACGCACACACAGTCCTGCACAGGCAAAGCTTTATAAAGGGTAAGGGAGGCTTCAGCTGAAGGGAGCCAGCGACTGACTGAGTGACCAAGCTGCTCCCAGAACAGAGTGGTTGTTGGGGTGGGCTAAAGTCTGGTCATTTCTTGGGCATAGTGGTGCACACCTGTAATCCCACACTTGGGAGGCTGAGGCGGGAGGATCACTGTGAGTTCAAGGCCAATCTGAACTCCACAGTGAGACCCTGTCTTGAAAACAACAACCCTCCCCCACAAAAAATTTGATCATTTCATGCCAGGCATAATGGTGCATACCTGCAATCCCACCATTCAGGAGGCTGAAGCAGGAGCACCATCATGAGTTCAAGGCCAGCTTGAACTACATAGTGAGACTCTATCTCAAAAATGCCCCCCACAAAAAAAAGAGGTCTGGCCATTTCCATAGATCAGGTGAATGGTTCCAAATCTTCTGAAGGATTTGGACCATTGGGTGGTTACAGTCAATCCATCCTAGAGGCTGTTGAATTTTTGTGTCTGCTGCTAACATCCTATTCATAGGGTCAGACATTCTGACAGGGCTAAAGGACTTCAGGTGCTTGGACTTTTGAAGTAGCACGGGGTGGAAACACACACACACACACGTACTGGTTCTTATAGGCAATACGCCAAATTAACTCTATGTTTTGTTTTAGTGTTTTTGAGACAGGGTCTCCCTTTGTAGTTCAGGCTGGCCTCAAACTCACTTTGATCTGCCTGCCTCAGCCTCCCAATGTGGGATTACAAGTGTGCACCACTATGCCCAAGAAATGACCAGACTTTAGCCCACCCCAACAACCACTCTGTTCTGGGAGCAGCTTGGTCACTCAGTCAGTCACTGGCTCCCTTCAGCTGAAGCCTCCCTTACCCTTTATAAAGCTTTGCCTGTGCAGGACTGTGTGTGCGTGCGATATTTGGCCCAATCTCATTTCTGTCATCTATGCTCAAGAGAATCTCATCTGTTATCAGGTTAAGCAGGCACTGACCAAAGACATCACAAGGAAATGTCACAGTTGGTATAAAGAGCTCTAGTGGAGAAGTACACCAGAGTGGCTCTTGGTTGGAAGTTTAGAGGAGCAGGAGTCTGGACAGGAAAAGGGACCTTTCTTCCATGCAAGCAGAGAAATGAGGATGGTGAAAATGGAGGGAAGCTTATACATTTTTTTTTTCTCTTTGAAGAAGGAAGTAAGCTCTTTTGATGAAAATGAGGCATTGAAGTCAGAGCTTTGTAACAATGCACACTCTGGGTTTGAAAAATCAAGTTACTTAATATCTACAAGCCTGTTCTTGTGGCTAAAGTAGAGGGCATTGTACTTGCCTCCTGGAGTCATCAGGGGGTTGAGCCAAAGATTCAGTAAAGCACTTCCTAGGGTCTGGCATGCCTTCATCAAGTGTCAGCTACTTTTTGCTATTAAAAGACAAGCCAGGCCTGGTAGCATATAGCTGCAATCCCAGCACCCAAAAGGCTGAGGCAGGAGGACTGCTGGGAGTTTGAGGCCAGCCTAAACTATAGAGGGAGACTGTCTCAACACCCCACCCCGCAAAAAGACAAAAAGGCAGCCAAGCTGGGCGTGGTGGTGCATGCCTATAATTCCAGCACTCTGGAGGCTGAGGCTGGAGGGTCTCAGTTTAAGGCCAACCTGGGCTACATAGTGAGTTCAAGGCCAGTCTGAACTCTGTAGTAAGATGAGAAAAGACAGCCAAAAGAATAGTCGGGGAGCAGTGAAGATCAATCAGATACATTTTCTCATTACTAATGGTCACCAGTTATGATTTACTAGGTCCAGAAAAGATTACAAATAAAAGCTTATCTCTGTCTCCCCACTTACTTGCCATATACTCCCCAAGGTAGATCTTTTCCTGTCTGATCTGAAAGGTTTCTCCTTTCTAGCAAATGAAGGGTTTGGACTAGATGACTACCAAAGGCTCTTTTAATGTAACCATGCTACATCTGTACGCACCCCCCCATTCCCAGACACCCTGAAATATCCACTATCCCTACATTCTTCACCAAAAGCATCAGGGCTACACAAGCACTCCCCACAGGAGGCTTTGGTCCCTGCCCCACCCAGTCCTAGCCTCTTAATCAGCACATCTCCAGGGCTGTATTCATGCTGGGCCCCTGAGGCTACTTGCTCAGCTCTCCTGGTCACAACTTTGGTGCTATCAGAGCCAAGAGGAAAACCATGGGCATTTGAGTGCTTGAAGGAAAAGTGGAGACTATATGAAGAGTATGGGGAGAGGACCCAAGCCTCAGCCTCACCGCGACTATTGTGGCTGGGTCTTTCTGTTCTAGGCCATCATGAGGAAGCCACAAGCAGCTGTGGGAAGTGGTCGCAAGAAGCAGGCAGCCAGCCAGAAGGGAAGGGAGCAACGTTCCCTCAGAAGCAGCCAGGCTAAGCCGCCTGCTCCCGATGGTGAGGATCTGTGCCTAGCCAAAGGCTCAGAGGCTGGTTTCATTGGCCATGACGGGGCAGATTCAGGCTGGGAAACGAGCATGGTATGTAGCAAGGCATCACAACATTAATTGAAGGTCTAATTCTGATTGTGTTGCTGTGTGACTTTGGGATAACTACTGTGATTGCCTGCTTTCTTACCAGGAAATGAGCAGTAAGTAGTCTGTGCATTTCTTCCCTTGTGTGGTTTTCATGGTGTCAAATGAGTTCATGAACCTGTTTTGTAAATAGGAAACTCTAAAGGGCTATATATTATTCCTGGATGAAACTGTTGGGTTTTCATTATGGCCCAGAAACAAAGGAGCCAGCTGTACTACATTGAGAAAATAAGGCCAGGAATTTGGACCAGAATCTGGTCTCATTCCACGCCAAAGCTGAAAGAAGGGGCTGGGTTGGGGGAAGCTCTAAGCGGAAGCACAGTGCTCTAGGTCCCTGTTGCACAGCCTGTGCAGGGGTGATTTCTGACTGTCAGGGGGTCCCCGCAGGCCTGGCTGGACAGCAGGAAGAGGAAGTATCACAGACCCCCATATCCCCATACCATCTATTCAGAGACAAAGCTGAAGTCATAGCCTTCCGGAGAAGCCTGCTGAGCTGGTATGACCGGGAGAAGCGGGACCTCCCCTGGAGAAGACGAGTAAGCAGCCAAGGGACAGGGATGGTGGGGCAGGAGGCTGGCGCCCAACCCCTTCCACACTGACTTCCTACCTGGGGTTGCATCGACAGGCAGAGGATGAAGTGGACCTGGACACGCGGGCATATGCTGGTCAGTACCTCTTGCAAAAAAAGGGCTGCTTTGCCTAGATGTCTGCAGGTCAGGGGGCTGCAGGCAGGAGCAGGGTGGTTTCTCGGTACACTCATGCCAACCCCTTTCCCTAGTGTGGGTGTCAGAGGTTATGCTGCAGCAGACCCAGGTTGCCACAGTGATCAACTACTATACCCGATGGATGCAGGTGATGCCCAGAGAGTGGGGGAAGGTTGGGCCAGACCCCAGATAAAAGCCTGTATTTTGGGGTGGGTATAAAGCGGGATTCCCTCATCACCCTCACCCTTTACCTCATTTCTTCTTGCCTCCTTGGGGCTGTAGAAGTGGCCAACACTGCAGGACCTAGCCAGGGCTTCCCTGGAGGTAAGAGCCGCCCTTGGTAAGGGAATGGAGACCATTAAGGGACTGATCACTGATTTCTTTGACCAGTGATCACATCCACAGGAGGTGAACCAGCTCTGGGCTGGCTTGGGCTACTATGCTCGAGGCCGTCGGCTACAAGAAGGAGCTCAAAAGGTAAGGGGGGACAGGGAGGTAGGAGTCCAAGGGCCTAAGGTTGCCTCATAACCTTGAGCTTTCCTGCCCTAACCAGGTGGTGGAAGAGCTAGGGGGCCACATGCCATGTACAGCAGAGACCCTGCAGAAGCTCCTGCCTGGTGTGGGGCGGTACACAGCTGGGGCCATTGCTTCTATTGCCTTTGGCCAGGTGAGCCTGTAGCCCACTGCCACTTTGTGTCCTCAGACCCTTCCTCCCAGCCCAGACTAACTCCTGGACTCCTCTGTACCAGGCAGCTGGTGTGGTGGATGGGAATATAGTACGGGTGCTCTGCCGTGTCCGAGCCATTGGCGCTGATCCCAGCAGCACCCTTGTCTCTCAACAGCTCTGGTAGGATATTGGGGTAAGGAACTTGGGACAACTCCCTTCAAAGAATCTTTGGCTCAAAATATTCCCTTTTAGGAGCCTAGCCCAGCAGCTGGTGGACCCAGCCCGGCCAGGGGACTTTAATCAAGCAGCCATGGAACTGGGAGCCACAGTGTGCACCCCACAGCACCCTCTCTGCAGCAGCTGCCCTGTGCAGAGTTTGTGCCGGGCACACCAGAGGGTGAGCACATTGGGGAAGGAGCTGTCGGGGTCCTAGAGAATGAACCTTCCCCATTACACTCTACCTGTGCTCCTCAGGTGATGCAAGAGCAGCTCTCAGCCTCACAGAGCCCGCCAGGCATTCCTGACATGGAGGAGTGTGGTGAGGACAGCCCTAACAAACCGTAGCCCTCCTGGCCCCGTCAGAGAGCTGCCTGTGGAAGCCTCAGTCTGGTTCCTATAACCTTAGTAAGGCTCTTTAGAGCCAGGCCCAGCTTGGTCTCTGGGCTTGGTATCTAATCCTCCTGGCCTGAGCAGGGCTTTGGAATCTTTGTTCCCAGCTCCCAGCACTGGACAGTGCCAGCTGTGCCTGCCTCACACAGAACCCTGGAACCATACCCTGGGGGTGACCAACTATCCCCGAAAGCCCAGCCGAAGGCCTCCCAGGGAGGAGCACTCTGCCACCTGCGTTCTGGAACAGCCCAGAGCCCCTGGGGGTGCCCGAGTTCTGCTGGTGCAGAGGCCCAGCTCAGGTACAGGATACTGGACGTGGAGGGCAGTGGCACAAGCGACAAGGAGGGACAGAGAAGTCAGCAGCCAAGGCCTTACCCACCCTTGTCTGCTTTCTCAGGTCTGCTGGCAGGACTGTGGGAATTCCCAACCGTGACCCTGGAGCCCTCGGGACAGCATCCCAGCAAGGCCCTGCTGCAGGAACTACAGAATTGGGCCGGGCCCCTCCCAGCCACCCAGCTCCAGCACCTTGGGGAAGTAAGTGAGCCGGGAGGGGCCAGGAATGATGGCTTTTTTGGCCACAACCACAAGCCTGTTTCACCTCCCCTCCTTTCCCTCCAGGTTGTCCACACCTTCTCTCACATCAAGCTGACCTATCAAGTATATGGCCTGGCCCTGGAAGGGCAGACCCCAGTGACCACTGCACCACCTGGTGCTCGCTGGCTGACCCGGGAAGAATTTCACACTGCAGCTGTCTCCACCGCCATGAAAAAGGCACTGCATTAGTTGTCTACACTGTCCCTTTCTGTGTTTCCTCCACATATGGCACTCTGTATAAACTTACTGTATAAACAGAAAAAGGCATAAACAAAAGTGTTGGGGCATAAAATTGAGGGCAGAGCATAGGGATTTGGCTGTTTTGGAGGAGGTGCCAGTCCTCTCTTGTCTCTTTTTCTTGGCCAGGTGTTCCGTATGTATGAGGCCTATCAGCCAGGGACCTGCAGGGTGAGTCTCATAGCAGCCATCTCTCCCCATACCTGAATCCATGGCTTTCCAGTCTTTTTTTTTTTTTTTTTTTTTTTTTTTGTTGGAGACAGGGTCTTACTATGTAGTTGAGATTGACCTGAACCTCACTATGTAGTCCAGGCTGGTCTCGAACTCACAGCGATCCTCCTGCCTCAGCCTCCCAAGTGCTGGGATTACAGGAGTGTGCCACCACACCCGGCTCCAGTCATTTCTTGACATATATCCGAGCCTACATGCTGCAGGCATTACTGGGGACAAGAATAGTTCTTGATCTGGGGATCAAGGCAGTAATCTTCTAGGTGCATGAAATGTTCACGCTAGATTTTGTGGGACGTGGAATGGGGAGCCATCAGTTCTGTCTGGAAGAAAAGAATCAGGAAAGGCCCCTTGGAGGAAGTGGTTGCTAATTGGGGTCCTAGAAATAAGTCACTTTCTCCAGGTTTGGAAGGGAATTGGCAAGGGTGTTCTTTCCAGGCCCAAGAGTAGAGGAGCAAAAGTGGGGCACAGTGCAGTCTGCAGTGCTCAAGGAGCTACGTGCAGTTCAACTGGAGAGGTCGGCTGCACCTCCCAGCTCAGCCAGAGCATGAGAACCAGGCTGCTGATGCATTTTTAGGTAGAGGAGAGGAGAGTTAGATTTACACCTTAGGAAGATTTTCTGGTATTGCCGTTCAGAGTTGATTGTAGGGGCAGATACTGGGAGGCAGGTAGACAGCATTCCAGGTTAGAACCTGAGCTAGATCAGTAGGCTGGGAGGAAGGGAGGAGGGAGAGGATTCCCCAGTGCTCCCTTCTTAGCTCCCTCTTTTGGCTTCTGTACAGGGCTCCAAAAGGTCTCAGGTGTCTACCCCATCTGGCCGGAAAAAGTCCAGCAGGGGCCAGCAAGTCCTGGATAATTACTTCCAGCCTGTTAGCAGTGCAGCCCAGTGATGCCTCTGGAATCCTCTTGAACCTTACCTCTGAGAATCCTGTGGTTTAATAAAGTGCTTATTTTTGTAATCATTTGGAGAGCTTTCTACCCTCTCCCTAGCCCCTTCACGTCTCACCTCTGAGGGACCCAGAAAGTGCTGAGTCCTGACTCCCTGGATGAGCTGCCAGGCAGCTCTGAGCAAATGGGGCTCCATCCAGAGGATCTGTTTTCCCCTTTCCCCTGCAGAGTGAGGGCAGCTGCAGGGAAAACCTGCCAGGGGCTGACATCCAACACCTTCATTCTAGGTCTCAGGTCAGCTTTGATTGGAGCGGTGGCTTCAAGCTAGGGCAGGTGATTGTGATAATCCTGACTCAGTTTTTCCCCACCTGCAGTGGTTGCTCCCCAGGGAGAAGGGAAGCGCAGGAGGATTTAGTCTTAAATTCCTATCTCAAAAACTAAATCTTTATTTAAAGGATGTATTTCATATGTAATGCACCAATACAGAAAGGCAAAGAATTAATAATTAAAATTGGTGGGGGGGGAGAGATGTGATCAGAGAGAAATAAAAAGGGTTCAAAAGTACTGGTTATGTTCTGTGACCTCATCATGTAATTCTTTGCTTGTTCTTTATGTCTTGCATATGTATTAGATATTAAACTGTGAGAAATGTCTTAAGAGTTTTTTTAAAAAGTTCTGCCTCTTTGGAGTCCAGTGAGATGCAATTGCTGGTAGGTACTGAGGTGGAGACCACACTGGGCCCGAGAGCAGAGCTTTTCACTAGCTAGCCTCCGTGGGTGTGACTGTTCCAGCAGATCCTGTGCGGACTCACCAGAGCACCAGGACAGGTGAGTGCACCCAGCTCTACCCTTCAGGCTTCCTGGCCCCTTGTAGCTTCCTCTTGTACTGACTGCCACAACGCCCGGATGTTGTCCTGGCCAAAGCCTGTGGCCCCCTGCCTCTCAATCAGCTCCAGAAAGAAGGTGTCCTCAGCAAAGAGGGACTTGGTGAAGACTTGAAGTAAAAATTTGCCTTTATCACCGTCTATCAGGATACCCTGTTGGGCCAGGAGGCTAGGCTTGTGCCCTGCCGCTCGGATCTCCCGCTCTTTGCCAGGCTGCTGGTAGTATGCCTTCGGGGGCGTGAGGAGGCGACCTCCTGCCACCACCATCCCCTTCGCGGCCTCCAAGATATTGGGAGTGTACAGCCCTACGTGCTGCAGGCCCGGCCCCCTGTGCCGGGCTAGGAATTGCTCCACCTGATCAGGTCTGCTGGTAACTCCCGGAAGGGACTCGGCCAGCACAAGGGTGGGGACAGCAGTGCCTGGCGGGCTCTGGAGGGCGGTGAGCCGCAAACCCCCAGGCCCGGACCCTGCTGCCACCTCGAGGCCGAGCTCTGGATCCTCGCCTGGGCTCAGCGGCAAATGGCAAAAGCCCAGGCAGTCGTGAAACCAACGCCTAAGCGCAGGGGAACTGCCGGCGGTGCAGGCCAAGGTCAAGTGGTCCACGTGGCTCACCCAGCCTGGGCCGGGGGCGGAGTGCACGGGTCGGAAGCCAGGCAGGAAGAGCCCGCGGTAGCCATCGCGGGCAAGCAGGGTCAGGCTGAGGTTGCCAGCCGGTGAGCTGAGCACCGCGTAGGTGACCGTGCCTTGCACATCCTTCACACTGACTGGGGGCACTGGAACGCGGCAGCCCTGAGCCGCAAGCGTCCGGATGACCGCGTCCGGATCCTCCACGTCGAAGCACAGGTTCGTTGCGCTAGGCACCGGGTGACGCGGGTCCACACCG